CTTCCTTTCCTTCAGCTTTTATGGGAACTGATCTGTTGCCAGAAGCTCATGAACTGTCCTGACTTCACGTGTTACACTTTTAGAGACTTCCTGATAATTTTGGCCTTGAGTTTTCAGTTTTTCCAGACATGTTTTCAGTCTTTATGTTAAGCTAAGTCGCTGGCTAACAGCTTCATTATAATGAATCTATTTTATAATTTAACCCTTTGCAAAAAAGGCAACAAAATAATGGATTTCAAACTCTTTCTTAGGCATTTAATTTTACTTTTAACTTGGAAAACAGCCCATTGAACAGTGTGACTTAAAGAGGAGATAGTTGCATTTAACAGTCCAAGTACATAATTTAGTTCCACGTGCTTTTATTCTCTGCAAGTTTGCCATGGTAAGCTTGTGAGCTCGGTGTTTCTCGGTTTGGCGTGGCTTGAAACCAGTCAGTGCTCCTCCATGTTGTCTTTGCATAATAGTCACTCTGTTGAGGAATAGCTGTTTAAGTTGAATGTAAATGTTGAGCAGATACAATTTACCTCCCAGCGGTTAACATATGAATAACATGCAGCAGTTCAGCCCATACCAGTCCGTCATTACTGAACTCTCTTGGCATTGTTGAGTCATTGCTCATTGGGTGTGACCAGCAGCCAGCACTGAAGCTCACTTGGCTGTTTCTCTCTTTCCTTATCAGTGTTTGCTGCGTAGTAAGAAGCACAAGGCCTACAGTCTACAGTCCAACAACACTGGAACAGAGCTGTAAGTAGAGTTAGAAGACCAAAAACCGACCCCTCAATCTCTGTTTTACTTTGACTGTTCTGACTGTATCTAAGAATGTGATTGTTTTTCTTCGGTCTGAGACAGACGTCAGCAAAGATGGCAAATCCACTACAGAAGCTTGTGTCTGAGAAAAAGGACATGGTGGAGACAGTGATGGAAGTGTTTGAGCAAGGAGCTGAAGTGGTGGCCAGCATTGCCGGTGACCTCTTCCCCGTCTTCGCCATCGCAGCCCCGATCGTCAAGCTAGCTCTGGACAACGTGGAGAGCAAAGAGGCCGCATTCATGAAGGAGCAGTTTCAGAAGGTCAGAGATCGGCTGGATGTAGTGTCCGAGGAGCTTCAGCGGATCAACGAGGAGATCAAGAAGAGCGGCGTGGATACTACGTACTTCCCCGTTGAGGAAAACATTACCAATCAGTTCAGGAAGTACATGGACATCCTCAACGCCAAACCGAAGTTCAGGGAAGTGAAGAAGAAGCTCTTCCTGGAGCATTTCGCCAAGACCGGAGGCGACAAAAATATTAACACCCTATTCAACGTTGTGATGGGAGAAAGTTTCTCTGGGGAACCTTTGCTCGAGATCGTCCTTAACTACGAGGAGAAAAATCGCCGGGTGATGGAAGACTTTTGCGCCCGTCTGAAGAAGCTCTTCTGCATTGCGCTCATTGCGCTGCTGGGCCACGCTGCTCTGAAAGGATATGACGAGGAGGACGATCTTCTGAAAGAGTGGGGTGAGAAGATGAAGGCTGTCCAGGGTAAAATGAACGCTGTCATTGAAGACTGCATCGTCAGCTTCCCTAAACAAGCCGAAGAAGACTCCCGACGACTGGTGAGAGATCAGCAAGATTTAACCAACCAACAGCTAGCTGATGCTATGGTAGAGATGCTAAAGAAGAAGTATGACTGGGTGGGCTGGTCTGTGCGTATATTTAAATCTCCTTCAGGCCTGTTTGCCAACAAGAGGGATTTCCAATGCGCAACGGGAAAGCACCGCTTCCAAGTGCCTTCGTCGGATGAGAAACTGAACGTGTGGGTGTCCTACAGCTCCTCGCCTGAGCCTGTGGACAAGAGCCACATCCAACAGCTGATCCAGTCTCAGAAGAAACTCACAGTGGTTGGGGTCGCTGAGTTCCTGTTCGAGAAGTTACCCGGCGACTGTGTGGTTCACACAATCAAATCCTCCAAAGACCTGGCCTGCTCGTGGAGCTTCGAAGATGAACTTCACTACTGGGAGGAGCACAAAAACTTCTACGTCTGCGTTCACTCAGCTTGATGTTTTAGACACTGAACAAAACTCCAAAAGTCACTAATCCTGTGTTTGTGTTTGTTTGTGTACCACATCATCATTTCTGCACAGATAATTGGTGCACCTTTGTTTAACCTTATTCTCATCTCGGCTGCTCCTCTGGGCAGTTATTTTGAAGCCCTTATCTAAATGAACGGGTACAAAGCCAGGATATTTACTTCAGTGGTCATTAGAAGAGAAAAAGACGTTTCTTTCAAAAGAACGGTTAAAATGATTTGTTCTCAGCAGTTATACTTCTACTAATGAAAAGTTTGATAATGTTACAACTAGGGATGCAACGATACCAATTTTTTCAAACCGATACGAT